AAGTTTGAGTCCAGCCTGGGTACCATAGCAACTTAGGAACATCCTGTCTCAAATACAAAAAGAACAATTTACAAAGGGGGCTGGGAATTTAGAAGACCCCTCAATTCAATGCCCAGTATCACTACCAAAAAAACCACAAAAATACACACACACAGCCCAAAGTGAAAGAAAATCATGGCTAAACTCTTTGCTGTAAATTTTTTAAAAGAAATTAACAAAGCAACTGAAATAAAAATGCTCAGATAGCCAGGCATGATGGTGAACACCTGTAATTCCAGCACTAGGGAATCTGACGCAGGAGGAATACCAAAAGTTCAAGGCCGGCCTGGGCTACATAGTGAGTTCAAGGTTAGCCTGAACTACATAGCGAGTCTGTTTCAAAAAACAAAACAAAACAAAAATAATGCTCATATGGTTACATGACCAAAAAATGACATAATTCAATCTTGGAGAATTCAAAAAAGACTTGGAAAAAATAAACATAATTACAGAAATGCAGCTGAAACTGGGAGAAACACTACACAAATTTCTGAAAAAGAACTCAGAGGATTAAAAAAAAGTAAAATAAAAATGAAGAATAAAAGGACTAGGGAGGAAATGACATGTTAAAAAACCAGAGGCAGTAACTGATATATAAATGATATAAGCCTAAGAACATCATCATAATGGAACAGACCATGCTTAAAGATATAATTCTGGAAATATTTATTAAAATAAAAAAATATGGATCCACATATTGAAAGGGTACATCCTATCTCAGAGAAAACTGCTAACAGTACAGACATGCAAAGATATTATCACAAGAAAAGAAGAAAATTCATCTGGCTTCAGCTTTTAGTCTAGAACAGAATGGACCATGTTTTTATTTATTTATTTATTTACTGGTACCGGGGATCGAACTCGGGTCCTTGCGCTTGCACAGCAGGCAGCGAAACTACTGAGCTAAATCCCCAGCCCTGGATCATCTTTTTAAAGGTTCTCAAAAAAAGACAGAGATGTAGCTCAGTGGTAGGATGCTTGCCTACCAAGTGTAAAGCTCCAACACCACAAAAACACATGTACACACAGACACAAAGTTCTTAAGGAAAGAAAGTGTTACTCAAGGATTCTATACCCAAACTGTTGTTCAAGTATAAATAATTATTTAATTTTGAACAAGTAAGAACTCAGGGCCCTAAGTCCTTTTAGAAGACTCTATTAAAGGAAGAATTTCATAAACTAAGAAAGGCTGGAAAAATCACAACAAAATAGCCAGTTTTAAATTTCTAAGCTATTTAACAATAGGACTTAGAATAAAATAAAATATTTAAGAAGCCAGAACAGGAAAATTCCACTGACAATGCAAATACAAACTGACAAAAGTTGGAAAGATAGGGAAGAAATAAACCATTACATAAGAATATAAGGATACTGATTCCCTTACCTTCACATGTCAGAGATTTAAATTTACCAATTAAATATGATAATAAAATGATAGACTATATATATTTAATTGCATGAAAGTAAAACAAGGAGGATAATAGATATCCTACCTTCATAATTGCTTACATTAAGGAATTAAAAGATAGACTTAAAACAGAAGGGTATATTTTAAAAGTAACATCAAAATACATCAAACTGGGCAGGGGATTTAGCTCAGTGGCACTGTGCCTGCCTTGCAAGCATAAGGTCCTGAGTTCAATCCCCGGCACCAAAAAAATAAATAAATAAAATAAAAAATAAAACTATAAAAACACAGATGAAAGTAAACATTTGAACATAAAAATAATGTATTTTAAGTATAACTTCTAATGAATTCCATACTTTTGATCTGAGAGAACTCAAACTCATACTTTCAAGGAAAATAATCTTTCAGTTGAACAATTTAAAAATAACTCCAAAAATAAATATTAAAATATATTGAGATATATGAATGTTAAACCTCAAAATTCTTAACACCTCAAAAAATAGTCTTATGAATGATCATTTATCCAAGAAGATACCAATTAAAAGTGAAACATACAGTGATTTTTTTTGTAATCTATCAGCAAGGTCAGAGTTGAAGGATATACCACATGAGTGAAACTATGACACATTTCATAGTCAAATATTCAAACAGACAAGCTCATATAATCTGTGAAACACTTTGTTCTTATTAAACATTATTGCTATATTTAACACTAAAGGTTACATAGACTAAGCAGAGGCTCAGAACAACAAAAAATGAAAATCTATCAAAAGTCAAAAGTCCATGCTGTGCAGTTCCCACAGAAACTGTTATAATGAATCTCAAAAGCATTAGGCTAGGTAAGAAATATGATCTCAAAGGTTACACACTATATTATTCCATATAAATATTTGACAGTCTGCAAAAACTATAGGAATGAGAACAGATCAGTAGCCTGTGAGAGGTGAAGTTGAAAGGGGAGGTTCATTAAAAAGTCAGCTGACCAGGTGTGGTGGCACATGCCTACAATCCCAGCACTCAGAGGCTGAGGCAGGAAGATCACCAAGAGCTCAAAACCAGCCTGGGCTACATAGTGAGTTTACAGCCAGTCTGCACTAAAAAGTGAAACCCTATCTCAAAAAGAAAAAAGCAAGCTAGGCCCCATGATGCACGCCTATAATCCCAGCTACCAGGGAGGCTGAGGCAGAAGGACCACAAGTTTGAGGTCTGCCTGGGCAACTTAGTGAAACTCTGTCTCACAATAAAAAATAACATGGGCTGGGAATGTAGTTCAGTGGTAGAGTATTTGTCTAGCATGGGTGGGGTCCTGGGTTTAATACCAAGTACAGTGGACCCTCAAGTTAAGACCAGCCTCACATACAAGTCACTTGGGTTACGACTGGAATTTTAATTTTAACTTATGACCAAAGTCCTGAGTTATGACCCAAATGCCAGTCTTTCCTGTGTGGGGTTAATTGAGAAATCCTGGGCCAATGTCTCTCTAAGGACACTGAGATCTGCCTGTGTACAGGAGAGAGACTTTGAAGACTGTGTAGAGGAGCCTGAGCCTTCAGTTGACCCTGTGGTTAATGACACTGTCACTATAGCAGAGGCCATAGGCTTGCAGGTAGACTGTGGTGCTGCTGAAGAACTGGTAGAGGAACACTCAGAGGAAATGTCTACAGAGGAACTTCCACAACTTCTGGCTGAGCAACAGAGAATGGCAGCTGAGGAGGTTTCTAAAGAAGAGGTGGAGGGGCTGGGGATTTAGCTCTGGTTTTGCTGCCTGCTGCGCAACCGCAAGGACCGGAGTTCAATCCTGGGTACCAAAAAAAAAAAGAAGAAGAAGAGGGGGAGTACCAATAATCAGTGCAGCAAAGTTCTTCTTCTGAAATAAAGGAAATCCTGAAAAAATGGACAGAGCTACAAACATTTGTAGAGACGACCCACCCAGACAGAGAAAAAGCCAACTGTTGCATTCACCTGCTTAATGACAATGTCACGCCATACTACAGAACAGTGTTAAAGAAAAGACAGAAACAGACAACCTTGGACCATATTTAGTTCTGAAAAGGCTGAAACCTAGTGAGCCAGAAGCAGGTCTTAGTGGGCCACAGACTCTCCCAAGGAGAGAAAGAGCACCAAAGAGCCAGATTCCTGATGTTCTCATGGAAGGGGACTCTCTTTCCAAACAATAACCAACTTCTACTTCATCCTCCTTTCCTGCAACCCAAAGATGTCAACTTGAAAGGTGAGTACAGTATGAACTGTTGTTTCTAGTAAACTAGAAACATACTATTGTTTCTAGTAAACTAGGCGCATTTTGTAACTTTTTGGTGAATACACTAGGAAAACTATTGGTGTTTCTGGTAAATTACATACATTATATAACCTTTTTTTATCATGAAAAGGTCAGTTAAGGGGTGCTTTGAGAGATTCAGAACACATTATGGGTATATCCATTATTTCTTACGGGAAAAATAGTCTTGACTTAAAATCAGCTTGAGTTACAACTAGCCCTCGATAATGAATTGAATTTGTAAGTCAAGGATCCACTGTACCAAAAAAACAAAGTCAGCAAAATGGAATTTGGAGGTGATGAGAAGGTTTGTAGCTTGACTGTTGTCATTACAGAATCTTATGTATACATCAAATGCCATAGGCCTCTATACTAAAAAGAATGAATTTTGCTGCACATAAATTTTTTACATAAATATATTTAAGTTCACCAAAAAAAAGTACTTCCACAAACATTTCGTATTATTCTCAGCCTAGTAATAAAGACTAGGTAAGATATTATCACTCTTACAAGTGAGAAAAATGAAGTATAAAGTAAGTAAGTAAATATCTGAATCACACATGGTAGGACCAAAACTGTAGTCTAGATATATAGATTCTATTCTAAATGGTTTAATCTCTTAATTTCTCATGTTCTCCTGAATTTTATGGGAAAATCGAAGGGAAGGGAGAAAATAAAGAAAAAAAGACAGTAGAAGTAACCATTTAGAATTTGGCCATCATTCTTTAAGAATTTAGAAAATTTGTAACTGAGCCAGGGTTTTAGCTCAGTGACACCGTGCCTGCCTCATAGGTACAAGGTCCTGAGTTCAATCTCTGATAACAAAAAAGAAAATTCGTAACTGAGAAAGTCTGAATAGTGATCCATATAGCCAATAAATTAGCTGGCATTAAAGGATTAAAGGATTGATTTCTCCCCCCCCCCCAAAAAAGCTGCTTAATTTTTAATACTAAGAAAAACAAAAAGCAGATACAAAATATTCACAGGTAACCTTGTAAATACTGCTACAATTTAAACACTATCTAGTCTTCAGAACTAAGCTAACAAGGAAGGTGAATACAACTCAGAACAGATTTTGCAACTTTAAATAAACAGTTAAGTCCCAGATGTTACCATGCCAGGGTAGAAAACAAGAAGGAAACCTTTAAAAATACCTTTTCAGTTTCAGAATCACAGAAGTAGTAGTATATTTGCAAAAGAACATACCCTAAGTGTAACAGTTTCTCTAACAAAATAACAAATAACTGCATCTGGACTACAAATAGCATACATCACCTAAAAACAATGGTGTGGTTTCTTCTAAAGTAGTTGCGTTAGGATCTGCTCCAGCTTCTAAAAGAATCTGTGCAATCTTCCAATGTCCTTGACTTGCAGCAAAATGTAACGCACAAAAGCCTTCAAAAGTCTTTGTCTTAATGTAGTTTTCAGATGAATCTGTGGGACAATAAAGATCAATCAATGAGAAGATTATCCCTTCTGTTTCTCTGGCTTGAAAAGCAAAGATTACAGGAGGAATTTAATGAGATATTAAAATATAAGTAACTTGTAAAGGTTAGGTCTCGCAGTTTTTAAAACTCTAGAAAATCATGGAAGGTTCTACAGGGATCCCAGTATGAACAGCTCTTTAGTACCCTTACCACACAAATTCTGCCCATTCACTCTGATTTTCTCCTAATTTTTGGTGGGGAAAGGGAGGGAAGTGGCAGGGGTTGAAAGGTACCACGGCAGCAAGATCTGAGGAGGATACAGCACTAAAGCATTGCTTGAGCAAGATTGATTTATTTATTTCTAAATTTATTTCTAAATATCCATGAGAGAAATGGTCTTTTCTCTGGCATTACTTCCTTATCCCCAACTAGTAACATAAAGGTGGTTTTAAAAATTCCCTTTCTAAAGTAAAGCTATAATCAAATGGTAAATGAAGACTGCACTTTTAAAGGAATAAAATGTACTCCAAAGAAATCAAACAGTGACATACAACTTACAAGAAACTTGAGTCAACTTGGAAGTGTGTTTGTGATGAAAAACTGAAGGTTCTGGTAGCATTCAAATTATATAAATAATATCTACATCAAAATTTTTTAACTCCACAGCAGAAGATATACTGAGAGCTGACTTTCTTAGCTCTGCTTCCAAAAAACAGTAAAAGTCTAAGCTTATATTGGAAGGATGGACTTTAAGGTGAATGGTGAAAGCATTTCCAGAGTGGCAAAACAAAAAGAAACTTCTAAAAATATTTTCTCAAAATACCAGAAATGAAAATAATGCTTCTGACTAAAACACAGTAGTCATCTATTTTAAGTGATTCTTACAGTTATAACTCACTGATGAAACAGGTAGACCAAGACATAATATTTAAGAAGCAGCTTATAAGTATTTCAAAGGAAAGAGCCTCAAACTTTACAGGACACACAACTAAATCACAAGTTAAGGCAGAAACAGTGCTTCAGATACTACTCAGAAATTGGTCCTTATTCAAACTAGTTTATTTACATGAGTTGGACGTTGAGTCACTAGCTCATGTGCTAACCCTGTAGTTTTGTGGACACAAATCACATGAAAAACTAGGAACATGTGGGTATATATATAGATAACTGATATAAGTAAAGTTCCTAAATGGGAAATTTTATGAAAATATCAATAATTCTCAAAATAATAAATTTAATATAATCATAATAAAAATGCCAGTAGCGCTTTTGTTCATTTTATACTTGGTGAAGTGACTCAAGTTGCTGAGAGTGGGGTAGGACAGTTAAAACAAAGTTTAGAAAAATATGTAAGATAAGCCCTGAGGGGAGGCTTACACATTAAACCACATCTTAGAGCTGGAAAAGGTAAAATAATGGGGTACTGGTACAAATGCAGAGAGAAGGGTGCCTATTTGGGAATGGGGAAGCCAAGAGAAGAAAAAGACACCAAGGGAGAAGAAAGCTGGAGAGACCTAGACCAGTCCTACACTACAAAAAGCCAAGGGGTTTTCTTTTGGGAAAAAAAAAAAAAAAAAGATGAGATTTAATTTTGGACACTGAAATACTATGCATTATAACAGTGAACTTAAATGTAGCCCCCGACCCCACCCCCACAGACACATCTCCATCCAGTGCCAGGGATTAAACCCAAGGGTGACCTAATATTGAGCTACATCCCCAGCCCTTTTTATCTTACTTTGAAACAAGATCTCTCTGAATTATCAAAGTTGGCCTTGAACTTGCAATCCTCCTGCCTCAGCCTTCTGAGTGACTAAAATTAACACAGTATGTACTGCTGTGCCTAGTAGCATTTTTTAATCAACCAGGAAACAGTGAGAAGAGGGATCCTAAGATAGAAGCAGATGCTGATAAAAGATTTCAAATGTATGTCACAACTTCACTGCAGAGTGAGAAATTAAAAAATGCTGGCCTATGTAATTCTGAAAAATGTTACGGCTACAAACTGTAAGACTAAAAATAAAAGGAGCTATACATTAAAACTATAGTTAGTAAAGATGTTTCTTACAGAGGTAGAGATTAACAATCTTGAAACTACTATACATGCATATACTAAAACTGAACAAAACACAGATTGTAGATCAGAGATGTAGGCTACATACAAACAAAGAGGAAGGCTAAAATGAACCTTGAATGTGGTACTAGAGTCCAGCCATCAATATAAACCTGTATAACTTATCAGTATTAACTTCATATAAATATACATACAGAAATAATCATATATATACACATATATATGGGTTATGACCCATAAATACTTTTTCCAGCTCCATCTGCTGAAAAGGCTTAAAAGCAATGATATTCCAGTAGCCATGAGCACACCCAGTTCCTACATCTTGGTTTTGAATATCATTCTCCAACAAAAGAAACTAGGTCTCTTATAAGAATGGTTGATTCCACATACCACAGTGATATATGGGCACTCATGTTCATAATAGCAGTTTGTAATAGCTAAAACTTGGAAATAGCCCAATTGCCCATCCACTGGAAACTGGATAAAGAAGATGTGGTTTTTCTATAAAATGGAGTACTACTCAGCCACAAAGAACAAGAAATTAAAGACATTTATAGCTAAATGGATGTACACTGAGGCCATACTCTTAAGTGAAATAAATAGGACACACATGTGTAAATACCGAATAGTTTCTCTAGTGTGAGACACTGAAAGTGTAAATAAGAATTAAAATGATTAAAATGAATAACTGATAATTTGAAATAGGAAGAAAAGGCCCAAAGGGGTAGGGGAAGTGGGAGGGGAAGGGGAAAGGAAAGAAGGGAAAGGAAAAATTATAAGAAAAGGAAAAAATGGAAACAAAGTCTTTGTAAATAGGGAAAGGTGGAGGGGGTGAAGGGAGAGCAGGGGAATGGGGGGAAAAAATGAGAACCAAGATACATCATGTACAGGTACCAGTACCCAACAATAAATGTAAACATACTGTATACCTAAAATGTACCAATAAAAGAATTTAAGCAAAAAAAAAATTTATGAAATAGGTGTATATCAAAACATGAAGACTGACCCAGCACCGAGGAGCACAGCCACCCCCTGCACCAAGGAGGTGAGCCTTCTGGGCTGCATCATTGTTGGTGGGAGTGCAGACTGGTGCAACCATTGTGGAAATCAGTATGGAGATAACTCAAAGAACTAGGGCTAGAGGTCCCATTTGACCCAGCTATTCCCCTACTGGGTATCTTCCCCAAAGAATTAAAAGTATCATACCACAGTAATATATGTGCACTCATGTTTATAGTGGCACAGTTTATAATAGCTAAAGCTTGGAAACAGCCCAAATGGCCATCAACTGGAAACTGGATAAAAAAATGTGGTTGTTTTATAAAATGGAGTACTACTCAGCCATAAAGAATGAGAAACTAAAGACATTTATAGCTAAGTGGATGTATATTGAGGCTATACTCTTAAGTGAAATAAATAGGACATATGTGTAAATACGGAATAGTTTCTCTGGTGTGAGAAAATGAAAGTGTAAATAAGGACTAAAAGGTAAAATAGATAATGTGAAATAGGAAGAAAAAGGGCAAAGGGAAAGTGGGAGGGGTAGGGGAAAAGAAAGAAGGGAATGGAATTAATAGAGAAAATGAAAAAAATGGAACCAAAGTCTTTGTAAATAGGGAGGGACAGAGGGGTTGAAGGGAGGGCAGGGAAATGGGGAAAAAATAAGAACCAAGATAGAGTATGTAAAGGTGCAAATTCCCAATGATGAATGCCATCATATTGCATACCTAAAATGTGCCAATAATATTAATAATATTAAAAATTAATAATAAAAAATAATATATAAAAAAAGAATGGTTGATTCCAGGTTTGGAATAGGAAATATACAAAATGAGGCTGAAGCATATTGTAGGTTCACAAAGGTAAAAAGTGCTCAAAAAAAAAAAAAGATTGAGGGGCTGGGGATTTAGCTCAGTGGTTCTGGCGCCTGCTGCACAAGCGCCAAGGTCCTGAGTTTGATCCCCGGTACTGAAAAAAAAAAGAATGAAAAGGACACGAAACTCAATCTGAAAGGATGTCTAAAGCAATCTGAGAAACATCGTATATAACGCTGTCTTGGATTATAATATAAAATATGAAATAAACATCCATGAGTTCATGCAGAATAAATTCAGTTCATGACTGAATAAATAAATGGAAGAGATACATTCCCTAAACTGAAAAATTTCAACTAATTTATGGAGACACTCTCCAAGTTAATAGAGCTCAATTTCCATCACTCAAGTGTAGGCCACCCTCAGCTACTTTGCTACACCTTCCTGGGAAAAGGAAACAAAACTTCTGACATAATTACCTATGCATCAAAGAAGACAAAAGTCATTTCTTACTCAAGATGAGAAATACTGAAATCCATTTACTACTAACTTGAGATCTTGAAAGATTTTTGCCTATAGAAAAAGATATATTTACCTAAGCGTAAAACCACTAGACCAGAAATTTAACAGTGTTATAAGACTTAGGCTGCAATCCTAGCTCTGCCAATTACACTTTGGGTTACACTTTGGACCAATTACTTTAACTCTCTAAGGCTCAAGTTTGTAATGTAAAACAAGCATAAAATAGCTGGCCCAAACCTCAGAAGTTCAACAGAATTATGTAGATAGCATGAATTTTTGTAAAATACTAGTAAATGTAGAAAGATATGTAATCATTACAATTTTTATGTACCATAAGAGTTGTTATAAATTTGGTCAAGTCTTCAAAATATCATTTTAAGATTTTCAGCACTTATTGTAAACTGGTTTTGGAAGCTCCAACAATAAATGCCTGCCTTAAATTGATATGAGAATTTTACTAAAGGGACCTTATCCAACTCATACTGGACCATCAACTACCAATCTCTTATTTTCTTCCTTTCATTGTATTGGTTTTAATTTCTTAAAGTCTTTATTCTCAAAGAAAAGTGGTTTCTGCTTATCTACTTACAGAAACTT